TGAGTCCTTTTCCTTTTTGTTTTTATCTCTTTGAGATACAGACCAAGTAGTGGTATTGTTGGGTCAAAGGGTATGAATGGTTTGATATCTCTTTGGATATAGTTCCAAATTCCTCTACAGAATGGTTGAATCAGTTCTCAAATCTTTCCCTCTCAGTGTCTGAGAGGAATATGTCTCAATCTTTCCACATCCCCTCCAACATTTGTCATTTTCCTTTTCTGTCATATTAGCCAATCTGATAGATGTGAGGTGGTACCTCAGACTTGTTTTAATTTGCTTTTTTTCTAATCAGTAGTGATTTAGAGCATTTTTTCATATGATTATAGATAGCTTTGATTGCTTTGTCTGAAAACTGCCTGTTCATATCCTTTGACCGTTTGTCAACTGGGGGATGGCTCTTATTTTTTATAAATTTTACTCAGTTCCCTATATATTTGACAAATGAGGCCTTTATCAGAGAAACTTGCTATAAATTTTTTTTCAAAGTTATGAATACTAGCTGTATTTCCCTTTATAATGTATCTGCCCTGTTTATCATACTCTCTCTCTCTCTCTCTCTCTCTCTCTCTCTCTCTCTCTCTCTCTCTCTCTCTCTCTCTCTCTCTCTCTCTCCTCTCTCCCTTTCACCCTGTCCATCCTCAACAGTGTTTTACTTCTGACTACCACTTCCCCTATTCTACCCTCCCTTCTATCAACCTCCTTCCCCCTTCTCTTATCCCCTTCACCTCCCACTTTCCTGTAGGGTAAGACAGATTTCTATACCCAACTGAGTGTATATATTACTCCCTTTTTGAGGCAGTTCTGATGAGAGTAAAGTTCATTTGCCCCCTCCCATTGCTGCTCTCTTCCCCTCTACTGAAAAAGTTCTTTTGTGCCTTTTTATATGAGATAATTTAACCCATTCTACCCTCTCTTTCCCCTTCTCCAGTGCATTCCCCTTAATTTTATTATTTTAGATAACCATCCCATCATATTCAAAAAGACCTAATAATGAGAAAGTTCTTGGTAGTTTCTTGTGTCATCTTCCCATACAGCAATGTAAATGGTTTAACCTTATTGAATCCCTTATGATTTCTCTTTCCTGTATACCTTTTTATGCTTCTCTTGAGTCTTGTATTTGAATGTCAGATTTTCTCTTCTGCTCTGGTCTTTATTTTTTTTAAATCAGGAATGCTTAAAAGACTTCTATTTTACTGAATATCCATTTTTTCCCCGTGAAGGACTATATTCAGCTTTTCTGGGTAGGTAATTTGTGGTTGAAATTCTGGCTCCTTTGCCCTTTGGAACATCATATTCCAAGCCCTCTGATCCTTTAATATAGAAACTACCAAATCTTGTGTTATCCTGACTGTGGCTCCATGATATTTGAATTGTTTCTTTCTGGCTGCTTGCAATATTTTCTCCTTGACCTGGGAGCTCTCAAATTTGTCTATAATATTTCTGGAAGTTTCCATTTTGGAATCTCTTTCAGGAGGGATTGTTGGATGCTTTCCTTTTTTATGTTTACTTTCTGGTTCTAGAATCTCAGGGAAGTTTTCCTTGATAATTTCTTGAAAGATGATGTCTAAGCTCTTTTTTTGTTTGTTTTTGTTTTGCTTTTTTTTTTTTGATGAGATAGTCAGGCTTAAGTGACTTGCCCAGGGTTACACAGGTAGTAAGTGTTAAGTGTCTGAGGCTGGATTTGAACTCAGGTCCTCCTGACTCCAAGGCCAGAGCTCTCTATTCACTGTGCCACCCAGCTGCCCTAAGCTCTTTTTTTTTTTCTCATGGCTTTCAGGTAGTCCAATACTTCTTAAATGATATCTCCTGGATTTATTTTCTGGGTTAGTTGTTTTTCCAATGAGATATTTCACATTTTCTCCTATTTTTTCATTCTTTTGATTTTGTTTTATTGTTTTTTGGTATCTCATTATATTGATATCTCATTAAGCTTCCACTTGCTTAATACTAATTTTTAAGGATTTCTTTTCTTTAGTGAGTTTTTGTGTTTCTTTTTTCATTTGGCCAATTCTTGCTTTTTAAGACTGTCTTCTCTTTATTGGATTTTTTGTGCCTCTTTTACTATTTGGGATATTCTGTTTTTTAAAGTATTATTTTCTTCAGGGTTTTTTTTTTCTGTGCTACCTTAACCAGTTTATTTTTTTTTCAAGATTTTCTTGCATCATTGTCATTTCTTTTCCCAGTTTTTCCTTTACCTATCTTGTTTGAATTTGAAAAGCCTTTCTGAGGTCTTCCAGGAATTCTTTTTTGGGCCTGAGACCAATTCACATTTTTCTTTGAGGCTTTGGATGTAGCAGTTTTAACTTTGTTGTCTTCTTCTGAGTTAGAGTTTTGATCTTCCCTGTCATCCTAGTAACTCTCTATAGCCAGGATCTCCTTTTCTCATCTGTTCACTTTTCCAGCCTATTTCTTGGCTTTCAACTTTATATTAAAATTGGGCTCTGCTTCTCAAATGGAGGGGGTACTGTCCTAAGCTTCAGGGTTTGTTTGTTTTCTTTTTGTGTGTGTGTGCAACTGTTTGTAGAGCTAGTTCAGGGAATGTGTAAGTTTTAAGTTCTTCCAGAGGTGGTGTGATCTAAGGAGAGGTGTGTTTTCTATTCTACTGACCTGTGCAATGGCCTGTGAGTGACCACAAGCATTCTTTTTTGTCCTGGAACTGTGACCAGGGTTGCTGCTCCCCTACGGCCAGTAGCTCTGGTATTCTAGTGCTTGTCTTCACCCTGAGACTATGACCCAGACCCATATTTGGTCAATGCAACAGAGTCTTGCACTTAGTACCAGCAAAGGGACTCCTGTAGTCTCCTTCTGACCCATTGCCAGAGCCCCTTACTCTCTGTGGGCTAAGAGCTCCAGAAGCCTCCACTGCGAATTCAGTCACTTTTCAAGGCCTGCTGCTGGTTTATGGGGGCATGGGAAGCTCTGGTGTGAACTCCAGTCTCACCTGGGTATGACAGACCTTTCCTGCCAACCTTCTAAGTTATCTTAGGCTGAAAAACTATTTCACCCCATCCTTTTATGGGTTCTGCTACTCTAGAATTTATTTTGGGGCATTATTTAAATTTGTTTGGAGTGGAATTTGGGAGAGCTCAGGGGAGTCCCTGCCTTTTCTCCACCACCTTGTTTCCACCGTCTCCTTGTTTGTATTTCAAAGTTTCTATCAGTTCTGGTCTTTTATTGGGAATTCTTGAAAGTCTTCTCTATTTCACTGAAGGCATATTTTTATCTCTGTAGGGTTATATTCAGTTTCATGGTGTCAGTTCCTCTTAGTTTTAAAATGACACCTTTTGTTTTTTTCAGTACTGTTTTCCAAGTTCTCTGCTTCTTTGTGATGGTGGTTACCATATCATATGGGATCGTGATTGTTGCTTGTCGACACTTGAATTCTTTCTTTCTGGATGCTTATGGTATTTTTTTCCCCTTTGACTTGGAAGCTCTGGATTTTGGCTAGTCACATAATCTGTCTGCCTCAGTTTCCTCACCTATAAAATGGAGATAATAACAGCACCTACCTCCCAGGGTTGTTGAGATTCTTTTTGTAAAAGCTAAATAACTCTGGCTAGAAAGTTCATAAATAGTCAGGAGCAAGCCCACTCAGGGCTCATGAATGCCATACTGGGAATATTCACACCCTTTACCATCACCCCTAGAACCCTGAGAAGAGAAGTATTAATTACTTGGGGGGACCTGGCTGGCTAATGCATGTGGGAATTGGCAAAGTAGCCTAGGAAAGGATGGTATAACATAACATAAATCAACTAAGGGACAACAATAAACATTAAAACGGAGAGAAATAATTATCAAATAACCAATTATTGGGGAGATCTGGGTTTTTTCCCTTCCTAGGTCCTTGTTCTTTACCAGGCCAAGCCAGCAACTAAAGGACAATGTTGATGGATGAGATTGCCCAAATCCGGAAGGTACCCCACCCAATTAGAGGGTCTTTCAGAGAATTTAATCTGAGATGAATTCCAGCCCACTACATTCTACTCAGCCAGGTCCATGCAGAAGTCCACTCCCTTTTGTTTAGATTGCCGTAGGCAGGGGTAGTCTAAATAAGATATGTCTCTTTGTCCATCACTCAATCTTAGAGTGTTACATACCCTAGCCCCTCATTAGAATAAGCCCACCACTCATTATAACATTCATTATTCTCATTAATTAACCAATCAGAGTTGATTGCCCCTTCAGGAACACCCACTCTTCCAAGGGCATATAAGCATTGAGTGGGTTCCATGAGAGGTCTTTGGCATTCAAGAGTGCCACCAACCCCTTTTATTAATTATCTGCTAGCATGATTAATAAAATGATTAATTACCAAGAAACTATATTTCTCAAACTTTTTATATGTCACACAACAATATAATGTTTATATATTTATAATAATTTAATAAATGTCATAAATAAACTAAGGGACATGTCCTTTAATAGTTTAACATAAAGACATTTACTTTATCTAATCACTGGTTCTTATTTCTTTTGGGAATTAATTACACAGTTAATGCTTGTTGACTAGGCACACCCTATCTTGATATAGTCTAAAATTCAAATTTGTGAAGGGAGGTTCAAGACCCAGGATGCATGATATTATTTCTCAATTTTAATAACAAAACAGAGAGAGGCCTAAGGGCTACTAGCTGCCATTTTCCACAAAGATTTTCCCCCAATTGTTTCTTGCCCTTTTATTTTGCATGCCATGCTTTCTGTGAAGTAAAAAAGGATTTTTCTTTTTTTGTAATCTCCTTGAAGGCAGGCATTCCTTTAGGTTTTGTCTTTGAATCCCAAAAGCTAGACCAAAGTAGCTGCTGGACAAGCGCTTGTTGAGGTGGATAAATGAGAACAAATTCCTGTGATCAGTGAGAAAAACCTTTATTTTAAATGAGGAAGGCACCTGGAATCAATGAAAGGAGATATTCTATGAAGTGTCATGTTATGATCCATACCATGCACCTAAAACCGCCACACCAGTAAAAGAATTCCCATGAAGACCCACTTAAAGGGGTTTGGATAAGATAGCCTGTATTTCTGAGAATATTCCAGATTGCTTACGGGAAAAAATTTGAAAGCAGCATCGTAATTGGATATGATAGCTAATGCCATTCTACTAGTAAGAGTTCTATAATGCATTAGGAATTGTCTTATTTTCAAATAGCTGAAAACCAAAAGTAAGTATTAAAGACAGAGCCCTTTTATTCATTCTGGTGTGAACCACAAAGATCATTAAATCCCCTCAGCCCATAGCTATCATTAGACATTTGCATATGTTATTTGGATATTTAATTCCATTTTTGCTAGTTGCCATAGCAGTAGAATAATAAATATTTTAGCCAAAAGATCTTGCATCAGACATAGCTGGGAAACATGCCCATAAATACAGAAGGTAATTGACTTCTGAAGCCTTTCAGGGTTCTTGGAAATGCCATACATCTTCCATAATCTGTGGCTGGTGGGCCTCGTTCCCTTGCACTGATGTGTGGTGGGTATCTGGTTCCACAGTAATGTCCAAAGGACCTTCGTCTAGGATGGCCAGGGGGGTAGTTATGTCAGTGCCAAAGGTCTCAGTAATATCAGATGGTCCCAGGGTCATCCCTGGTTCAGAGGTTGGTGAAGTGCCTTTGAGGAGTCTCTTAATCTGCCCAGCTGGGACTCCCCCCAAGTTAGAAATGCTTCCCTTAGGGAAGGACAGGATCCCTCCCTGAGCCCAAGGGATTTCTTCTGGAAGGAAAGCTGGATTCTCAATATTTTCTGGGTTGGTTTCAGGCATAGGGGAGCCTTGAGCATCACCCTCTGCTGGGCTAGGGGGTTTGCTGGCACCGGTCGGTAGGTCATGTTCAAGAGTGAAGTCTCCTCCCATGGCTGGGTTTGGGGGCATCCCCCCGAAGTCAGACTTCATTCCTGGAAACATGGCATTATAACCCATGGGGCCACCTCTTCCTCCCTGAAAAGAATCAGAGGACAGAGATACCTGTATCACATCCTACCACTCCATGCCTTGGCTAGTGTTCAGTCTGAAGGCCATGAAATCCATTTGGAAAAGAACAGTAAATGTTTTGTTTCAAAATCTTGAGGTTGCTTTAGACTCTGTAATGACTAGCTCTATAAAGAGCATTTCCCACCAAACCGGATGGTACACACAATATTTACAAAAAGCCTGGCAGAGATCACTCTAAAAAAAATTGGACTGTGATTTCATCAGTGTAAGGATTCCTCACATCCAAGTGAGGAATTCCTCCTACCGAAGTAGGCTGATAATTTCTCTGTAACACAGAGCATTGTTTGGGGGCGCTAAGGTTAAGTGACTTGACTACCTAGGGCCTCCCAGTGGATATGGGTCAAAGATCATAGACTGCATCCTCGCTGAAATACAACATCTAATTGGGAGGGAGAAGAATATTATTAGGTAGCAACAGAGCAGTCCGAGCTCAGGTTTATGTATACAATCAACACATCTTTGTATATATGTGTTAGTTGCTTTGATACAATCAATTATAATCTGTAAATGCAGGATTGCTTTTCAATTTTGGTTCTAGTTTTTCTTTATGCTTTGAAGTTAATGATGAGATGGGGCTTAACTAATTTTGGACCCAAGTGACTCTGTTTTGGTTTTTTGAGAAATCACAAAACTGCTATAATTTGCAGAGAAAATTGAAAGCATAACAATGTTTACCTGTGGAAAAAACGTCCTCTACCCCAAATCCCATTCAAATTGATATTATTCAGTTATTAATCACTGAAAGATATATGCTATATAGCCCAATGTCATTGTCTAAAGTCTGTCTATCTCTTAGGTCTCACGTAAGCAGGGGTTTCTTAGTGATGAGAATATTTTAACTACCACGTATTTCTGTTGTTTCTTAAGAAGGAGGTTTTTATTCCTGAATCCTGTCAGTAAAATGCTTTGTTTTAGAAATGTATCCCATCAGAAGAAACTAAGTATTTCCTTTGGTTTTTCGGTTTTTGTTAGTATAAAAGAAACTCTACAGAAAAGTTCGTTTGAGTTTATGCTTAAAGATACTGATGTATCTTTGTGTGGCTCCCTCACTAGTAAAATATCTTTTAACTTTAGCTAAAAGTCTTGAAGTTCAATGGATTCAAATAGATGAAACCAAATTGGACTAACAACCTAAGGCAAAATTAAACGATGTTAATTCTTTTGATTCATTGTTTTCTTCTTCTATTGTGTGAAAATAATGGCTAACATTTATATAACTTTTAAAGTTTGCAGAGCATTTCATAAATTTTATCTCATTTGATCCTGCCAAAGATGCCCAGGACACACAAAAAGGCTAGGAACCCATTATCTAGCATCGTGTGTTCTCAATTAAATTGTGAGCACCTTGCTATCAAGGGCTGTTTTTTGCCTTTGTATTCCCATGGCCTAGCACAGTGCCTGCTGCACGCAGTTGGTGCTTCATAAAAGCTTGTTGACTTGGCTCAAACCAGTCAAGCTGTAGTCTACCTGATTGGAGCATTTTAACTACAGGCATCATGTCATGTAAACCAATGCTTGAGACTTGACAAGAAGATGAACATTTTTTATAAGACTTTGGATCTTACCCTCTCTGCTCTTTCCTCCAGTTATGAGGAAAATATTTTTCATCAAGAAAATATTGGAAACCCAAGATGTCTAGGATTCTGATTGAATCCTATGCATCCACTACTCCACAGATCTGAGCACCTGCCTGAGATTTAACATCAGGATATCCAATCAAATAGCAACATCAAAGCTGTTGCCAATTCTCCTGGACATCTAGGTGAGCTCTCATGTCTGGAGTGGAAAAACATAGCTAAACTCCCATAGCTGCATGTTTAAGGCTTAATGGAAAGCATGACCGTGGTCTGAGGTTCTGAATTGCTGACTAGGCTCATCTGAGGGTTGGCTTAAAAGCAGGGCATCACTCACCATCATTTCTTCAGAGCTTAGCATGCCAAATCTTCCTGGGGCATTCTGTTCAAAGGAAATCATGAAATGATGAAATGAGAGCCTGCCCAGTCAATTGTTCAAGGGATATCTTCTTAGGTATTGAGAAGTGAAGACTGCAAATGATTTCATTTTGCTAGAATTTTAACATGGAGGTTGTGTAGGTAGATTAGAATAGAGGGTAAGCTCTTTGAAGGCAAGGATGAGCCTCTTTCATTTTCACCTCTGTATCCTCAGTGCCTCATATATAGTAGTTTAATGATAAGGAACACTGTCTGTGTCGTTCATTGGTAATTCACCTGTAATTCATTGGTATAGGAAACTCCCAGGTGAGGGAATTCTCTTTATTAGTGCAGGTTTCCACTTTCTCTCTGGAAAGAGAGTAGGTTGATTAACTGATTCATTTTGTACAGTGCAAGGCCAAGTGGGAATTGAGGAATTATCTTCTGAATGGTCTTCTTGAAGAAATTAGAACCCAAAGTTAACTCTTGCCTCAGTGTCCCTTCAGACCTCACTTTTTGAGTACTTCCTAATGTAATTATTGTCTAATTTTGTATACTTTAGTTGTATGAGTGTATGTTATTCCTCGACTAGCCTGTAAGCTCCCTGAGGGCAAAGGCCATTTACTTTTGTATTTGCATCTCTAGCCTTGTACACATAATAGTAATTTCAATGGGTCAGTCAGTCAATAAACATTTATTATGCACTTACTATGTGCCAAGCAAGGCATCTAATAAATGCCTATTGACTGATGAGGGCAGGGACCTCATTTCATATAAACTTTGTAACTCTTCCCTATGTATGTACTATGTAAGTACTTCCCTATGTAAGTACTAGGTAGGATAGATACATAGTACACAGTACTATGTATCTATCATAGTACTCTCAGCACAAAGTAGAAGCTTAATTAATAAATATTTGTTGAATGAGATAAATTAATATAATATAGAGAAGTTGTATAATAAAAATATAGAATAATACAATTGTATGTAACACAAATGTCATGTAATAATATATTTTCTATACCTTAGAATATATACTATTTATAGATTTAAATGTAATGATGTATTATAGAGAAGCAAAAATATAGGGATTATGTATGATCTATTAAATTGAAATTATACAATTATTCAATCAAAATTTATTTAATACCTTAAGGTTTCCAAAGGCTTTCTAGACATTATCTTATTCTAGTCTCTCAATAACCCTATGAGGGAATTACTAGGAATATTGTCATGCATATTTTTAATACATGGAAGGTGAAGATCCAAAGTGAGCTGTCTAGAATCACTAGTAAATTTTTGAGTCAGGATTCTGACTTAGGTCTTCCTGACTTCAGATCTTTCACTCTGTAGAAACCACAGACCTTTCTACTTCACTTTGCTTATTAAGACATTCAACAAATATTGATTGTCACCTGCTCGGGATGATGTCTCTATGTAACTCGTACTTACCAATTGATTTGCTCTATATGGCACGTAAAACATTCTTGGATAAACCTAGACGTAAATGAAACAGACATTAGAAAAGTCTTTTTTTTTTTTTTTGGTGAGGCAATTGGGGTTAAGTGACTTGCCCAGGGTCACACAGCTAGTAAGTGTCAAGTGTCTGAAACTGGATTTGAACTCAGGTCCTCCTGACTCCAAAGCCAGAGCTCTATCCACTGTGCCACCTAGCTGCCCCTGAAAAATGTTTTCAAAGAAGAGAATGTTAAGCTGCTGTGGGCAGAGGACAAAGGATAAACAAACAACCAATAAAACAAACAAAAAAACTTACTGGGGCTTTCTCTGTTTTTTGTGTCGGTCCTTCAGAGATCAAACGTCCCATTGGAAACATCTTTACACAAAGGAGAATAAATGTTTAATGTAACACAGCTCTCGATAACACTTTAAAGTTATATAAAATAAATTGTCTAGGGCGAAAGCATGAAAAATAGCCACCCAACTTTAAAGCAAAGCAAAGAAAATAATTTTGCTTTATTGCAGATTGTGGAGGGTGGGAGGCATACAATGAGCATTTAAAACTCTTTACTTCCCCTCTTTCAATAAGAATGAACTTTAATAAATTGTGCCATTAAAATGTGTACTTACTGAATGACCCAGTTGACCTGCAAAATCCAGTTCTGGTAGCTGCATCACAAATAAATGTTTAAATTACAGAACAGCTAAAATTCTAAGCAAAGGGAATTAAGCATTCGCCTAGTCACTCCTGTTTCAAAATAGGCCTCTTTAGAAAAATTGGAAAGTGTCCCCCATTTTCTCTGGTTTTGTCTCTTACTTCTAGAATCAGAATTGGAAGGGATCCCAGAAGCCATCTTGTCACATCACCTCATGTTGGGGTTGAGAAAATGGAGGTCCAGGTCTTAGAGTTACCATCTTATTTTCTTTTTTAAAATTCTTCTTTAAAATGTTTATTTTCAGTTCCAAATTCTCTCCCTCCCTCCAGTCTCTCCCCTACCCATTGGGAAGGCAAGCAATATGATACCCATTATACATGTAAGTCATGCAAAACATATTTCTATATTAGCTATATTTCAAAAAGCCAAGCAAAATAAAGTGAAAAAAAGTTACCATCTCATTTTCAAGACTGTAATTTAGCTACAAAGGCCCATTGACCAGACCCTTGGAAATTCAACTTAATAATGCCTAGAGACAGCATGATGCAGTGGATAAAGATCTGAGCCAGGAAGAGCTGAGTTCATTCTCTGTCTGCGTGACTCTGGACAGGTCACTTCCCTTTGCAGTTCTCCAGCCAACTGTCTAAGATAACAAGTTGCAAAGAAGGCGCTGACCTTGGTAGAAGAATGACTTCACCTGGGAGCTCCTTAAGGAGCATTTTTCAGAGGAGACAATGTATGGAGTGTACTTTGCAACCTTTAAAGCACCACACGAGCATTATTACTGTCATAAATGTAAATGTGATACTGACAATAAGGCTTGGGCATTTATTATTGTCCTGGTCATAGAATGTGAGAATTGGAAATGATCTTAGATGTGGTCGAGCGCTGTGCTCTGATTTTACAAATGAAGAGACTGAGGCCCAGGGGGATACACGGTCACTTGGGGAGTTAGCAAACAGGGCAAGAAATAGGAGGATTCTTGTCTCCTGACACCCAACCCAGGGCTCTTTCCCTGTACTTTCTAGAAGATGCTCTCAGGCAGTCCATTTCTTCTCTACAGTCAAATGGAGAGACCAGCAGTCTGGGGCAAGGTCAGTTTCAATCCTGCTCAGTCCCTTTACTTTGGTGGCAAAACCGAGCAGAGAGAACCAGGAGGGGCTTTACTGGGTTACTCTATCGTGGTTGAGCACCCACTTTTGCTATCGAGCAGGAGGTTTTCTCAGGCCCTTCTGGCTCTCTTGCTCCATCTTACCACCCGAGACTGAAAGGACCTAGTGTACGATACCACCAGACTCCACGTTGATACCTGATGTAGGTAAAAGAGCTCTGGACCTAGCGTCAGAAGGGACCCAGGTTGAGATCCTGCACCTAACATTCACTAGCTGTGTGGCCTTGGGCAGATGACTTAGCAACCTCCTGGAGTCTCAGTTTCCTCATCCCTAAAATGGGGCTGATGATATCTTTGGCACTTGCCGCATAGCGTTGCGAAGATCCAGTGAGATAATGTCTATGAAGTGCTTTGAAGACCTGTCAAGCTCTCTACACAGTGTTGGAGATCTTGAGCTGGAGGGGACTTAAAGGCTGTCTGGTCCAACTGTCTTATGTTATGTTCTTTAAATAAAGGCTGTGATTTCATCGGTGCGGCAAACTCCCAGTGAGGAAACTCCCTCTACCAGTGCAGCTTCTATAGCTGTTATGTAGCTTGCTTAATTGTCTAGGTGACGGCCTAGAGTGCTGAGGAGTGTAGTGATTTACCCAGGGTCACACAGCCGATAGGGGTCAAAGGGAGAACTTAAATTCAGGTCTTCCTAACTTCAAGACTCTTTACATGACGGCATGCTGCTCCTCCCACTTTGCCCACTGCACAGATCAGGAGACCAAGTCATTACTGATGTCACACAGACAAGTGGCAGAAGCAGAATTCAAACCCAGATCCTTTGACTCAAACCCAGCACTCTTCCCACTCCACCATGCTGCCCTTGTATAAAAGGCAAGGTTTTGTTTTCATTTTGTCCAGACCTAGGATATTCTTGGGATGAGGAAACTTACTCTTCCAACACAGATCTACAACTGGTCTACAATTTAGAGAATTGCCGGTTATTGTTATTATTGTCATTATTAATCCAAATTCTTCCAATCTTGTTCAATGGTGGTCAGATAGAAATGCCCCCAGGACAAGTCACAGTAATAGAATTAGTACATAGTAATAAAAAGAGCTCATTGTGTTCAATGGTGGTCACAAGCCACAGTATTAATAATAATAATAGTTATTGTTAACAAAAATGGTTCTAATCCTTTTTTGGTGGAGTTCAGATAGAAATGATCTCAGGACAAGAAATAGTAATAAGAATAAGAATAAGGAACAATAATAAAAAGGCTCTTGTCTTATTCGATGTAGGACAGATAGAAATGCCTCCAGGATGTCATAGTAATAATAATAATATGCTGATAATAAGTAATAAAAAAGATATCATCTTGTTCAATGGAGGTCAGATAAAAATATTCCTGGGATAGTAATGATAATAATAATGATTATTATTATTAAGAAAAATAATTCTCATTTTTTGGTGAAGTTCAGATAGAAATGATCTTGGACAAGTAATAGTAATAATAATAATTATTATTAATAATAAAAAGTTCTTATCTTATTCAGTGGAGATCAGATAGAAATGCTCCTGGGACAAGCAATAATAATAATAATAATAATACCAAATTCCAATTTGTTCAATGAAGTTCATATGTAAATGCTCTTAGGACAAGTTGTTATTAGTGTAATTATTCTTTCATGCAGCTTGACAACTATGCCACTATTATGAGTGTCATTATTACTACTACACACTTTATTATTAGTATTAATGGGTGACTACAGTATCGTTACTGTTATAGTAGTAAGATGTTACTACAGTATCATTACTATACAATACTTATTGACATTAATATCATGACTACATCCTTTATTAGTAGTATTAATAAACTATAGTAATGTAACTATTCAGTAGTAATTCACTACTAAGGTATTATTACTATGCATTACTACAGTATTATTAGTATTAATGTTATTGCTATACATTTTATTATTGGTACTCATAAACAACTATAGTATTATTACTATTACAGTAGCAATGTGCTACTGTGATATTACTATCTAATGCTTATTAGTATTAATATTACTACTACATCCTTTATTCTTAGTATTTTTAAAGTGCTACAGTAGTATTACTTTTACAATAGTAATGTATGACGAAAGTGTCATTACTATAACAACACTGCAGCATTGTTAGTATTAACATTACTATTATACATCTTCTTTTTAGTATAAATACTACACATTTTGTCAGTATCAGTATTAATATCACTAGGACAATGTTATTAGTAGCATTGATACACTACTGCAAAATCATTACTATTACAATAGTAATAGGCAGCTACACTTTTATTATCATACAATACTACAGTACTAGCATTGCCACTATATGCTTTATTATAAATAATAATATTACTACTACACATCTGTTATTATTATTATTAGTATTAATAAACCACTACAGTATTATTACTATTACAATAGTAATATAAAATTAAAGTATCATTACTATAACAGTACTACAGTGTCATTATTATTACTGTGACTACTATACGTTTTATCATTAGCATCAATATTATTACCGTGCTACTACAGTGTTATTAATATACAATGCTGCAGTTTTCTTAGAATTAGTATTACTACTACACGCTTTGTTATTCGTATTGCTAATACTAATAAAATGGTTGCACTTAGAGTTACTATTACTACTAGTACTAGTACTAAAGTTTTATAGTTGTCAGGCTGCATGAAGGAGATACCATTTGCATACTCCACATCCTATGGTGGTCATAACTTAAACGAATCTCGGGGGCTTGCTTTCTCTTGGCATGTTTGTAGCTGCTGGGAGATGGTATTTGATTAAATAAGGAAACCATGCAATGACCTCGGGCCTCCCTGCCCTGCCCAAGGGCCCCCCAGGCTGCTGGCCCACTGCTCTGTCCTCTGGATGCCCTTGGTTTTGTCCTGGGTTCAGTGGAGCCTGAGGTGCCCCATGCTGGGTGGCATCCGGTGCTGGGCTGGGTTGGAGGAAAATCTTCTGTCCTGGCTTTTGGGGCTGCTGCGATGGTAGAGGAGGCGGGTGTACTGGCAAGGCATATTCATACTGCAAAGGAAGGAAAATGGAAAAGCACATGAAAGGGGTCAGGGGAGGTCAGCTGGGCGAGCATCCAGCCATGCTCCTGGGGCCAGGCGTGAGCTTGGAGTTAGTGCCACCCGCCTCATCCAGCCTCACTCTCCCTACTCCAAAATTTCAGTCCACTGTGAAACAGCAGACTTGTTTGCATACCTTGTACATACCTCCTTACTCATTCTCTCCCCTTTTAGAATAGGAGCTCTTTGAGAGCAGGGACTGTGGTTTTGCCTTTCTTTGGATTCTCAGCACTTAGAGTAGCTCCTGACACAAAATTTACCAGCTGACTAACACAATTCGATCAATTAACCAATATGCACTTATCAAACACCTCCTATGACCAAGATAGGCCAGGTAGGTGGTGCAGTGGATAGAGCACCAAGCCCGGAGTCAGGAAGACTCGTTTGCCAGAGTTCCGAATCCAGCCTTAACACTTAATAGCTGTGTGACCCTGGGCAAGTCACTTAACCCTGTTTCTCAGTTTCCTCATCTGTAAAATGAGCTGGAGGAAATGGCCAACCGCTTCAGTATCTTTGCCAAGAAAACCCCCAATGAGGTCATGAAGAGTCAGACAGGACTGAAACCACTAAACAACAAATGAAGAGGCACTGTGCTGGGTGCTGGGGGGCACAAATACGACTGGTATAGAGTGCTCCTTAGCATAAATTGACCTCTGCATATGAAGTCTGTTTCACTAGCCATTCATCCATCCATCCATCCGTCCATCCTTCCATCCATCTGTCTGTCTTTCTCTCTTGGTTATGTCTAGATCATCTATTTAAATTAAAAAATTAAAAAATATTTTATCCTGAACTTAATAAACACCAAACAAAACGAACATTTCCATTTGCAAAGTTGAGCTGAAAAAGGATTTACACATGAAGCTGCCTCCAGTACAAAGTTTGTTTTCCCTTTGAAGAACATAATAAATTCAACATGTCACTTTCAAAGCTGTCCTGCTTGTTGTATTTACTTCTGCTCTCTTCCACACATGAAAAAATGCTTCAGTGACCCTCCTTTGGTCAGCTCCATACTATCCTCTTCTCTGTACTCACATGTATACCTTCACTCCCATTAAAAAAAAGAAGAAAGTAAAAACCCTTGTGACAAATATGCCCAGCCCTGCACAGATTCCCATGCTGGATTCCTGTTTAAAAGATCATTTTTCCCCCAGACTGCTTTTCCTGGAGAATCTGTGCTGACTCTGCTAACCAGATGAAAGCTAAACTCCTTAATCTGGTGTTTTAAATTGACCTTGATTTTAGGCTCGTAGTTCGAGAGGTGGAAGGGAATATCAGAGGTTATCTACTTCAAGCTCCAACTTTTGTAGATGAGGAAGCTGAGGCACAGAGAGAAATGACTTGCCCAAGGTCTCACAGGTAGTAAGAGGCAGAGAAAGGAATTAGACCCCAATCTCACATTATTTCCACTGTACCATGATGCTGCCTTGTCCCTCCTGATTGAGCCAAACATATCTCCCAGCTCCAAATTCTTACTGTGCATATCTCAACCAGCTTTTATTAAGTGCCTACTATGTGCCTTGTCCCATACTAGGTGCTGGAAGTACAAAGATAGAAATGAATCAGCTTTTGCCCTCAAGAAGCTTCTGTTCTATCAGTAGAAACAGCATCTACTTGTTAAGGATATTTTTGTTGTTCAGTTGTTTTCAGTCATGTCCAACTCTCCATGACCCCATTTGGGGTTTTCTTGGCAAAGATACTGGAGCGGTTTGTCATTTCCTTCTGCAGCTCATTTGACAGATGAGGAAACTGAGGCAAATAGGGTGAAGTGACTTGCCCAGGGTTACACAGCTCGTAAGTGTCTGAGGCCAGATTTGGACTCAGGAAGATGAATCTTCCTGGCTCAAGACCCAGCACTCTGTGCCCTATGGCGCCACCTAGCTGCACTTCTACATCATCCCGCTTATCAGACATTTAGTTGCAGTGTTGAAGGGATGGACCCTGAGGTTTGGTATTGAGAAAGAATGGAAGCAAAGAGCTCACCTGTTGAGTCTCGTGTTCCCTTTGCTGCATCCATGGGAAGGAGGAGTGGGGTGGAAGGAGTCCATGCATCCATAAAGAGGTGAATGGTTTACCATAACCAAACCGAGAGAACTAAGGAGGGGGTGAGATAGAGAAAAGGACATCATCTTATTTCTGCAATAATAGCTAGCACTTACAGAGTGCTTTACAGATATTACTTTATTTTATCCTGGGAAATACTATTTTATACATACATATTTTCCTCACTTTATAGATGAGGAAACTGAGGCAGACAGAGGTTAAGTGACTTGCCCAAGGTCACACAGCTATTAGGTGTCTGAGGCTGGATTTGAACTTGGTCTTTCTGACTCCAGGCCTAGAAGGCTGGGAGAACTGAAAATATAGGGAGCAAAGTTAAAATTTAACTATTTAAATATCAACATTTATGTATCCCCTTAGTAGAGGCAGCATGGAATAACCAGCATTTATACACCACCTTACAGTTTGCAAAGCACTTTACGTTTGTTATTTTATTGGACCTATTTATCTATCTGGGTCCCAGGCAACTCTGATTATAAGTTACAAGCTACTGTGATTTGTGTCAATGGAAGATGTTTCTACACTTAGAATAAAACAGGCCTGGGCCACATTTATGTTCAAAATTAGTTGTTAGATAGTTATCTCATTTCTTTAAAAAAATTGCTAATAATTTTTGGCTTTACCACACAGTCATCTCCTAAGCCCTAAGTCCTCTCAATTAGACTTCCCTTGCAACAAAGACAAATAATTAAGCAAAACCAAATGGACACAATACTCGAGCCTTGCAGCACGTATGACTTTCTGTACCCGTAGTCCTCCAGGACAGGTGCTTCCTCAATTCCTCTCTGGGACTAAGATTGGTCATTTTCATTTCTCAGCTGGAGTATTATTTTCAATAACTGTTCAAACAGTTTACCAGGTATCTGCTCGATGGTGAAATTCCCCTAAGTTCGGCCAAGATCTAGTTTTAAAATCCCTGTTTGTTTTAGCTAAGGATGAAGAAGAGAGGACACTAGAGAAGACTCCTTCGACTTTTTTCTTTTTTTTTTTGTATTTAGATGATTCATCTGCTCATCTGTATCTGCAACATTTAGGGCACTTCTATTAATAGTAACCATACTACCACTACAGTTAAGAATGAGAGGGAACATTTGAAAACAGTTACCTGAGAAAGCAAGTTCAGTCCATTCAGGTTTCCCAGCTGTCTCATTGTCTATTAAGGAGAAGAAGAGTTAGAATCTGTCTCCTATGTTTTCTGGTTCTCTGTATATTCTCATCATGAATGTGAACTGATTAATAAAGTCCAAAAAGAGATCTAAGGCAAAAGCTTTGTGATGGTCAGTAGTTCAGTTCTTATTTATAGAACTTATGCAAACCTCTGTTGTTTAGTGGAGGAGCAAAACATATTTTAGTGGAAATACATTCAAATATTTTGAGTGGAAATACATTAAGTATTTTAAATAGAAATGCATTACATACATTAAAATATTTTAAGTGGAAATACGTTCAATATTTTAAGTGGAAATGCATTAAATACATTAAAATATTTTAAGTGCAAATACATTACATTTAAAGTAGAAATGCATTAAATACATTAAAATACTTTAAGTGGAAATACATTCACTTGGGGAAATTTTATGTATTTATGCTTCCCCAGGTAATTAAAAAAAAAGTTACATGTCCTCTGACTTGCTGAAAATCAGCTTGAAGATAAAAAAACATTAGAAATAAATGTCATTAGGCTGTTTTTACTTAAAAAAAGGCACTAACTGGGTCTCTAACTAAGTAGATTGTCACACAGTTCTGTACCCAAGTATTTTATGAACCAAGATTATTATTTATAAATATTACAATCAAAATGATTCTAGATTTAAAACAATTCTCTTATACTTAGAAATTATAAGAAGATAGGATATTTATGATGATAGTGTTAATAATAAATTTAGTTAGTCAACAGGCATTTATAAAGTGCCTACTATGTTTCAGCCACTGTGAAAGAGAAAGGCAGAAGCTAGTGTCTCAAAGAACTCACAGTCCGACAGGGGTGATGAAATGGATACAATTGTGTATAACAGACTAAATACAGGATATATGGGAGATAGCCATCAGGAAGCTAATATTTACCTAGTGCTTCAGGGTTTGCAAAGTATTTAACATGTTATCCTAGTCTTCACAAATATCCTGGGAGAGAGGTGCTATTATTATTATCTCCATTTTACAGGAAACAAGCACACAGAGGTTCTGACCTGCCCAGAGTCAAACAGGCAGTGTGGCTTCCTCGATAGAGAACTGACCTCAAAGCCAGGAAGCCCTGGGCTCAAGTTCTGTCTCTGATGTATACTGGTTGTGTGACCCTGGCCAGGTCTTTTAATCTCTCAGCATTCTGCCATCACTCTTGGACTGGAAATTTCAGAGAAGGTACCAACCAACTGCTTTGGTAGAGAGAGTTTCCTCACTGCTGAGATCCCTGTACTAGGTCTAGTCTTCATCTCCTTAAACCACATTGTGTCAAATGTTTTACTAAGCCCGTATTCCACAAACTGAAACCATATTAAAGTAGGAAGACCACCACCAGAACGACATAGGATATAAGCTGCTCTTACAATATAGTTTTGATGCTAAGTACAAGAGTTTTGACAGAGAGTGAATTTTATGAAAACTAGTTTTGTTTACAGCAGTTTAAAAAAGATGTCAGATGTGGTAGAGAACAAAGTACAATCTCTCTCCCCTTCTTTTTTGTTTCTCTCCAGTTCTCCTATCTGTCTCTCCTCTTTCTCTGTCTCTCTGTTTCTCCTTTCAGTCTCTCCTCTGTCTCTCTCTGTCTCTGTCTCTCTCCTCTTTGTCTCTGTCTCTCTTCTCTCTGTCTCTCTCCTTTCTCTCTGTTTCTCCTTTCTCTTTCTCCTGTCTCTCTCTTTCTCTCATCATCTCTCTCTCCTCTCTTCTCTGTCTGTCCCCTCTTTGTCTCTTCTTTCTCTTCTCCTCTCCTCTCCTCTCCTCTCCTCTCCTCTCCTCTCCTCTCCTCTCCTCTCCTCTCCTCTCCTCTCCTCTCCTCTCCTCTCCTCTCCTCTCCTCTCCTCTCCTCTCCTCTCTCTTTTTCTCTTTGTCTCTCCTTTCTCTCTCTCCCTCTCTTCTCTCTCTCTATCTTAGCCTCTCTTCTCTCTCTCTGTTTTTCTCTATGTCTCTGTCTTTCTGTCTCTGTCTGTCTCTCTGGGCTTCCTTCTAGCTGTAACTCTATGAAACTCTGGGCAGGGCTACCTTTACAATTCAGTTATCAGAACACTTTGGTTCACTGGTGTCTCAAAGAATAAATCGGTGAGTTCTGTCCACGTTTCAGGCTGAAGAACGGGACTACCAGAGCGACCTCTCAGAAAGCTCCCTCGTTTCCTCGCAGGCTATGCAGAAGGCAAGAACAAACACACCGAGAGACAGCTTTGATGCAATAGCACCATCTGTTGACCATAATTCTCTGAGAGCCGACCAACTGCCGCTCCAGGTTTGAGTTAAGGACATCTAGTGGATTTGTCACCATGTTTCTCGCCTGAGAAATAGGACAGTTTAAATGCAATGCAAACGCTGAAAATATCTACCTCAAGGCTTAAGCTCCCCAGTCCGGTTGCTGCAGCTTGCTGAGGAAATACCTGCAATGAGACAAAAGTCATTAGATTTAACCTTTGTGGCTGAAGGATGAAGAGCTGTCACTGGGGCCATCTGAGATGGATTAGATACTAGACAAAAGGAGATGGAGGCTGATGAAGATGGGAATTCTTGGAGCCTTTCCTTATCCTCTTCTTCCAGCTCCAAGTGCCCTCCCTTCCTCCCTCCCTATCTACTTTGGACTGAAATCTTTTGTATTTATTCCCTTCATATTGATTCTGTATATATTTATACGTGGGCTTGTCTCCCTTATTTGATTGTAAACTCCTTGGGATTAAGGATTGACTGCTTCTTTGTATTTTAATACATAGCACTTAGCACAGTTCCTGGTATGTAGTAGGTGCTTAATAAATTAATAAATCCTAGTTGATTGATATAAGGAATTTCTGTTTATCTCCATTCACATCACACAAGTGCTATTTTATGTAGTTTTTTCCTCATCCTAGAATTGTTTTGCTTGAAGTTAAAATTATTTTAGTTGAACAAATGAAATTTGAAAACAAGGGAAAATAAGAGAATTCAGTGACACAGAATTATTATTGAATGTTAATTCAGAGAGGTCAGTGCAGGGATTTTTGACATTCATCTACCAAGAAAGTGCAGGGGTTTGGAGAAGAGCTCACTGTGAAATATAGATGTGATAGAGTGGAAAGTGGGCTGGATGTGGAGATGTAGGGCTTGGGCTGGAATACAGAATCTTCCATTCACTATTTGTGTGAGTTTGGGCAAGTGAGTTCCTCTGTCTGGGCCTCAGTTTCTCCTGTAAAAGAAGGGACTTGGATTGGATGGTCTCTAAGGGCCCCCCCAGCTCTAAGTCTATGACACGAGGAGGAAAAAGGTGGACATGATGTGAAGGTTTTGTTTTCTTCAGCAAGGCTGTGTAGTGGATAGAATGCTGGCCTTCATGCCTTAGACACTTACTAGCTCAGTGACCCTAGGCAACTCACTTAACCTCTATCTGCCTCAGTTTACTCATCTGTACAATGGGGATAAGAATAGCACCCATTTTCCAGGGCTACTGTGAGGATCAAATGAGATAATAATTGTGAAGTATTAGACAACGCCTGACACATAATAAGTACTATATAAATGTTAACTGTTATTGTTGTTATTATTGTTATAGCTAGGTGGCGCTGCAGTGGATAGAGTGCCAGGCCTGGAGTCAGGAAGACTCTTCCTTAATTCAAATACAGCCTCAGACACTTACTAGCTCTGTGACCCTGGGCAAGTCACTTAATCCTGTTTGCCTCAGTTTCCTCATCTGTAAAGAGATCTGGAGAAGGAAACGGTAAACCATTCCAGTATATTTGCCTAGAAAATCCTAAATGGAGTCATGAAGAGTCAGACACAACTGAAAATGACTGAACAACAACATTGTTATTATTACTTGTGAAATACTTAGCACAGTTCCTGAAACATAGTAAGTGATATATAAATACTCCTTCCTTTCCCTTTTCTTCCCTATTCTGTGAATATATTTAAAGCCTAATTATATTAATTAATATAATATGTTAATATTAATATAATTAGCAGTAATGATAATGATATAATTAAATAATTACATTTAAATATATTTCAATATTTGTTCAAATTTGTCGTATTTGTTCAAAATGACTCTTTGTTTCAATTAAATTTTGTTTTCCCAAATGATTACACCAAGTCATATTATATCATTGTACTGTTTTTTTTTTAAGAGTGGTATTATTGAGTGTTAATTCAGAGAGGTCAGTGCAGGGATTTTTGACATTCATCTACTAAGAAAGTGCAGGGGTTTGGAGAAGAGCTCACTGTGAACCAACTTACCTGTTTTATTGGCACTGCAAAACTTGTTCCCAAAAGGCACAGAATCAGTAGCAAGTCCTTCATTTTAAAAAGTGATTTCTGGAAGAGAGTTGAGTTGGGAGATTGTGGTCAGTTTCATTAAAAATCAGCTTACTCAGGATTGTATTTACACTCTGACAAAGTAACCAGTTGAAATATGAACAATTCAGTCTTGATGCCCAAATGATGAATTTGATTTTGAAAAAAATGAGTGGGCAGATTAATTTGGTCCAAATTGTTGAACTATTTGTATAAAGCTCAAATAAACCAAGGCAGTAATTTAACAGCATCAGCCTCTTTGGTCACCCATGGCGTAGGTTTCATTTGGTACAGAGTATGTCTTGGTGCAGTGTGTGATGGTTTGGTTAATGCCTTCCACAAAAAACGTGACAATGGTCCACTAAGCATCTCGCTTGCCAAGAGGCACCCCCACATAGCAGGGAAGCAAATTGTAAAATGCAAATGAATTATGGATGTAACAATGGAATATTTGCACAAAGACGTAAGACAACATTTGTATTGCATTTGGTAGGTCTAAAAAACATCACTTTCTAAGCGGGCGGGTGGAGGGGGGAGGAAATGAAACATTTTGTTCGTATTCATTTCAATGAAAAATCCTATAGAAGAAAAGGGTCTCCTCTTTCTCAAACGACCTCCTTGACTTTGTACTGTGGGTTCAAGAGGCTAGGAAGACATTAACTTTAAAGACTTCCCCGGTATTGTGAGAGCCCCTAACCCTAACCCTAACCCTAAATGCCATTTGCTAAGCACTCACTGTCTGCCAGGCACTGTGCTAAGCAGCTAGAGATACAAAGAGAAGCAAGAATCTGTCTCTTCTGTCAAGGAGCTCACAGATGACTGGGAGAGACAGCCTGCAACTAGGACGTCCCAAAAGCCTTAGAGTAATTTTAAGGTATTAAACCTATAGATTATTTTAGGTATAAAACCAAAAAACCTCCTGGAGACTTTTGCAACATCATCTATACTGTGTAAATTGAGAATAATCTCAGAGGGAAGACCACTGAGATTAAAGAGGACTGGGAAAGGTTTTTGCGAAAGGCAGCGTGGTACAAAGTAAATGATAATAGACCCAAAGTCAGGGTTCAAAAACTGCCTTAAAAACTTCGAAGCTGTGTGACCCTGGCACTTACTGTCTCCCCCCCCCTCCAACTGTGCCTCAGCTTCCTCATCAGCAAAATGGACAGACTGAACGAGATGGTCTCTAAGTCCCTTCCAGCTCTAGCTCTCTGATCCTAAGAGTCCATAAGGAGCTAGATTGGTAAGAGAACTCTTTGTTTTCTAATACTATTCTTAAGTAGAGGCTGTCACCAATAGGCTCATGACAGATCTTGTCTTGCTGTCCTGGTGGAATGGTAATCAAACTCACAGTTGATAATAGTAAACATTCTTGGATTCCTCATACAATGATCATAATTCCCCTTTATAAAAATCGTCCCAAGGCAGCAGAAGCCACAACCCCGCACACACGTGGAAGCTAACAAAACCCATTTTACCTTCACTGCTGGCTTGTGCCTTGTTCCCAGAGCCTGGAGATACCAGTCAAGAGACCTCTAAGAAAAAGAAGAATTAAAAGGTTTTCAGATCATCTGGGCCTCTGTCTCTCTTTGTCTCTTTCAGGGGGAGAATAGAAACCTGTATTTAAAGTACCAGTCCACCAATGAACTTGAAGCAACAAGGGCGAGAAGGCTCTCCTTCAATTAACGTCCACACCCTCTCATTGCATGGAAGGCTCTGCCCCATACAGTCTCATTATTTTTAATTATCTCTCAGCCCCTATATTTATTTGAAAAATAAAGTCAGGAAGAAAGTCAGTGAATAACAGACATTTGCACTTGAGCTCTGAAGACAATCATTTTGGAAAGCTGGGGGAATCTGTGCTAAATGAGTCCAGGAGAAGCTATTGTCCACACTGGGGATTTTCAGTAGGAAGCCAAAGCCCAAGACTTGGGGCCACCTGGAAGCTGCTATTGAAACGAGTGCCAATTCTGTCCCGGAGAACTTTTATTTCACCAGCACTTGAACTCAAAGCAAAGGGCACCAACTATTGTTTGTTCATCTTTAAAATTTTTGTTTTTTAATCTTTTCAATTAACATTAACACAAATTTACATTAATCAATCAATAAACATTTATCAAGCCTTCCACGAGCCAGGCACTGTGCTGAGAGTTGGGGAAACAAAAAGAGGCATAAGGTATCCTCTTAATTAAATTAACATTAAATTAAATATTTATTTTTTCCCCTGCAGTAGGAAAAAGCAAATGAAAACCAAACACTTGTAACAAATATGCCTAGTCAAGCAAAATCACTTCCCACACTGGTCATGTCCAAACTGTTATCTCAGCCTGTGTCTCCTCAGGCAGTGGGCAGAGTGCATCATCACTGATCCCTGGAATTGTGGCCGGTCATCACCAAGTATCTATGTGTTTAACATCTTCCCTCTCTGGCTTTGGGGGGGTGGTGCTGGGCAAGGACAGACAGATTAGTATTTGATGATGAGATTCACATCCTTCTTTCCTCCATTTCCAAATATTTAAAAGACATTTTTGATGCCAGTCTTGATGATAGTTCCAATTAATGTACTGATTTTAGAGTTAGAAAGTTATTTCTTGTATGGTAGGTGGTAAAAACTATCGTCCTTATTGTTTAGTTGTGTTCAACTCTTTGGGACCCCATTTGGGATTTTCTTGGCAAAGATACTAGAGTGGTTTGCCATTTTCTTCTCCATTTCATTTTACAAATGAGGAAACAGAGGCAAACAAAGTTAAGTGCCCAAGGTCATGCAGCTAGGAAGTGTCTGAGACCAAATTTGAATTCACAAAGATGAGCCTTCCTGACTCTAGGTCTTATACTCTATCCACTGTGCCATCTAGCTGCCCTGTCCTTGAGGATACTGAGTCTCAGAAAAGGAAAGTGACTTGTTCAGGGTTACATTGTCAGATTTTAAATCTGGGTCTCTCCAGACTCTAGATCAATCAATCAATCAACAGCATTATTAAGTATCTGCTATGTACCAGACCTGGCAATAGGCAAGAAGTAAATAGATCACTAAGAATGGAACAATCTTTATACTCAAGAAGTTTACATTCTAATAGGAGAGACAATACATACACATCAGTAGAAACGTGTACATATTTAAATATATCTAGAATGAATATACATATATACTTTTTAAACAAATATAAGATTAACACAAAGTCAGTAAATACAAAGTTATGCAGGAGGGCATTAGCATTCGAGGGGATCAAGAAAAGCTTTGTGTGGAAGGTGGTGAGATTGAATCATGAAGGGAGAGAGGGGAATTCTTTGTGATGGAGGTGACAAGGGGGCACATTCCAGGCCTGGAGCACAGCCATTCCAGAGGAACGGAGATGGGAAGTGAACGTGAAGAACTGAGAAAACATCAGTTTGGCTGGGTTACAGAGGAGGAGGAGGAGGGGGAGGAGTAATGTCTAGTGAGGCTGGCTGGCTGGGTTGTGTACAGGTTGTGAAGGACTTTAAAAGCCAAACAGAAGAGTTTACAATTTATCTTAGAGGCCAATAGAGAGCCACTGGAGTTTATTGTGTGGGGGAGTAATGTGGTGTTATACTTAAGGAAAATCACTTTGACAGTAGTGTGGAGGATGGGCTAGAGTGGAGAGAGATTTGAAGTAGAAGGACCAATTAGGAAGTCATTGCAATAATCTGGACAAGAGGTATGAGGGTCTAAATTAAGGTAGTAGCTGGATGAACAAAAAGAAGGGTCAGATAAAAAGAATATTGTGGAGGGAGAAATGGCAAAATTTGATGACTGATTAGATATGTGGGGAACTGAGGGTAACGACAGGTTTTGAATCTGGATGACTGGAAGGATGATGGTGTCTTTGACAAAAATAAGGAAGTTTAAAAAAAATACATTTTGAGACGTTTCCAAGACATGCAGCTTGAAATATCTAATAGGTGATTATAATTAAACTCATGAGACCCGATGAAGTGTGTGTGTGTGTGTGTGTGTGAGAGAGAGAGAGAGACACACAGAGAGAGAGAGACAGAGAGACAGAGAGAGAGAGAGAGAGAGAGAGAGAGAGAGAGAGAGAGAGAGAGAGAGAGAGAGAGAGAGAGAGAGAGAGAGAGAACTCTAGGACAAAGCTTTGTGAACCCTGGCAGTTAGGGAGTGTGTTATGGATGATGGACTAGCGATGGAGGCAGAAGGTGAGTAATAATCCAGGTAGGAGGGGAACCAGGAGAGAGATGTGTCATTAAAGCCAAAGAAGAGAGAGTACTCATGAAGAGAGGGTGGTTAAAAGTGTTAAATGAAGCAGAGAGAGTGAGAAGGATTATATTGGGGAAAAAAGAACACTGGATCTGGCAATTAAGAGATCTTTGATAACAGTAAGCACTGAATTTATGAGGTTGGAAGTCAGGCTGCAAGAGTTGAGGAATGAGTGAAGGGAGAGGAAGTGGGGGCAGTGAGTGTAGACAGCATTTTCTAGGAGTTTGCGAAGGGAGGAAAGCTATAGGGTGATAGTTTGAAGGGAAGGTAATGAAGAAGGGTCTAGTGAAAGTTTATTTTAAGGAAGGGGAGAGCTGGACCTGTTTGTAGGCAGCAGAGAAGGCTTTCACAGACCCTCTTAGTGAATGAGTAGATATTAATATGACCTTTTCTATGACAAAAAAGAAGATACAGAAATTGAGAGGCAGATCAATAAATCAATCAATAAAGATTTATTAAGTGCCTATAGTGTGTCAAGTACTATGTTAAGCACTGCATAATCCCTCCTCTCAAGGAGCTTACAGTCTAATGGGAGAAACATACAAACACCTATACACAAACAAGATATAAACAGGATAAATTGGAAATAATCAGCAGAGGGAAGGCACTAGCTTTAAGGGGGATTGACAAAGTCTTTCTTGTTGAAATTGGGATTTTAGCCAAGACTAGAAGGAAGTCAGAAAATGCAGGAGGGAGAGATGAAGAAGGAGAGGACTCCAGGCATGTGGGGCATGGCAGTGAAAATTCATTGGCGTCAGGAGATGGGGGATCCCATTTGAGGAAGATCCAGGAGGTTAATATCACTGGATCCCAGAGTGTCTGGAGAGGAGTAAAGTGTAAGGAGACTGGAAAGGCAGGAAGAGGCCAGGTCACAAAGAACTTTGAATGCCTAACAGAGAATTTTTGTTTCATCCTGGAAGTAATAAGAAGTTACTAGAATTTGTTGAGTAGGAGGGCAATGTGGTTAGACCTGCATTTTAGGAAGATCTCTTTGTCATCTGAGTGGAAGGTGGACTGATGGGGAGAAACTGACTAGCAAGTTACTCTAACAGTCCATGTGTGACATAATGAAGGCCTACTCCAGGTGGTCACAATGTCAGAGGAGAGGAAGGGGCATACATGAGGGATGTTACTAAGGAAAAACTGATTGCCTTTGGCAAGAGATTGGATATTGGGGGTGTGAGACATTAAGACCTAGGATGTGAACCTGGGGGACTAGAAGGATGTACCTTCAACAGTAATATGGAAGTTGGGAAAAGGGGACAGTTTTTTGGGAGAAAATAATGCATTCCGTTTTGAACATGTTCAGTTTAATATAGTTTGAGATGCCTATTAAGCAGGTAGAGGAGAGAGACTAGAGGTCATTGGAGAGGTTAAAGTTGGATAGATTCGAAAATTATGAGCATAAGAGAAAGGGAAAGGGACAAATGTTGGAAGAGATGTGGAAAAATTGGGACCTTAATTTATTGTTGGTGGATCTATGAGCTGATCAATCCATTTTGGAAAGAGAGTTGGAATTATGCTCAAAGAGTTATTAAACTGCCCATACCCTTTGACCCAGAAATACCACTCTTAGATCTATTTCTCAAGAGGAATTAGGGAAAATGGAAAAGAACCTACGTGTTCTAAAATATTTATAGCAGCTGTCTTTGTAGCTACAAAAAACTGGAAATTGCAAGGATGCCTGTCAGTTGGGGAATGGCTAAACAAATCGTGGTATATGTTCATGATGGGATATTACTCTGCTATAAGAAATGATGAGCTTGAGGATTTTAGAAAACCATGGAGAGACCTCCACAAAATAATGAAGAGCAAAATGAGCAGAATGAAGAGAATGTTCTATACAATAACAGCAATATTGTTTTAAGAATAACTTTGAGCAACCAAGTCATTCTGAGTATTACTCAAATCGATCTCAAAGATCCTGTGAAGGAAGATGCTGTTTGAATCTACAAAGGAATATTGCACCAGTATAGGAGATGATGTGCAGGTTGATTTAGAAAAACATGGAAAGATTTGGACTTATAAAGTAAGATGCTATTTACCTTCAGAGTAACAGAAAATAGGAGGAAATAAGCATAGTATGGTCTTACATATGTGTGTGAGTGTATGTGTGTATATATATATATATGTATATGTATATTTATAGATATCTATGTTTATGTATATCTATCTATCTATCATCTATCTATCTATCTCTCTATCTATCCCCTACCCATCCATCCATCTATCTATGCTTAATTGTAGCCTTCTTTAGGGTGGTGGTGGGGAAGTAAAGTAAAATGTGCACAGCAGAGAACAAAAGAAAACCAACAAAGAAGGAAAAGCTAGGTAGCTTTGAAAACATTGTGTAGTATTTATTATGTAGGTTTTCTTGAAATGGAAATTTACTGTTTTATATTGGATTCTCTCTTATGGTCTGCTGTGTACCTGGCAATATTTTTTTCTCATTTTGTAATTAAGTGTAAAATAAAAAAAATATAAAAAAAGA